TTAAAGAAGATGGGAAGAGATGTGAAAGTTTGTGGAAGGACTGTATGAAGCAGAGTCTACAAAGGCTGACAAAGTTGATTACATTAGTTCAAGGAAAGAAGATGCAAGAACTGTCATTTTCAATGCACAGCTAACACAGCAGCACCTCACAGGGCAGTTTGCAACATGTAGTCCAAACTGTACAGAGGATTAGGATTCCTGGCAGCTCCTTCCACTGACTTTCACCCCTCACTCAAATGGGAAACATGCCCCAGTAATAACTGCTTTGAGCAGCAAGAGCATCCACACACAGCAGCTAGCTTGAGGGGCCTTGGGGGAGACTCAGCCTTGAAAGTAAGTTTTTAAGAGGGGCCAGAAACTGAGTCAGATATACTTGAGAGTTGTTACAAGATATCCAGTGTTCTACTGCAACTTTTCCTTTTTGGAATTGGGGTACCCCAAAGAATTCCACAAAGGAACTCAGTACCTCCGTCTGAAAGAGAAAAAAAAGGAAAATACAGAAAGATAAGAACGATGCTTGGGTTTCCATACCTGTTTCCTCATCTTCTTCAGCTTCATCATCATCATCACTGTCGTTTTCATGCTCTGCATGACAGGCATATGCTCTTTTCAATCCGTTAAATAAAAGGATAAAAGCTGGCAGGATCTGTCCAGCAACTTGATTTAGAACCTGTGGTATCTGCTCCAGATCAATAAGAGCACACAGGCCAAGCACACACATCTTCCTGTCATGAAGTCTACAAAACAAAAGAATTCCAAGTTTTGCTCTGCTTTGCAAGCAGGTGACAGAGAGTAGTGGAGAGAACAAAGTGCACAGTTAGAACACTCACCCCAAGAAACAGTCCACGTCGTTAAGCCACTGTGTTATGAAGTGATTGGTGACAGGCTCCACATTATTGGGAAAACGAAGATTTTCCAAGGTATTTAGTAGTAAATGAGGATTGTAATACAAAGCAGCTATGGCAACCTGGAGGCACATGGTTCGCAGCTCACTGGTTTTCACCTCTCTGGTCAGTCTCTCCAAGGCAGCTTCCACAAACAAGGGTATGCACTGCAGAGTGAGAACCATGACAGTTACTGATCCAAAACAAACCTTGGCATTCTGCATTTCAACAGTCTGACATAAATACAGAGGGCATAAAATGGGAGAAATTTTTAATTGCCAGCATTAGTCCTATACAAAGATGAAATGAGAATTGAAAAGATTTAGTCACATGGACTTTGTGGTATCCTGCACAGCAGATGTGCCTCCTGGTTCTATCATCTTGTGTTTTAAGAATGAAAGGTAGAGCAAACGTGCACAACAGGAAGTCCAGAAAAATCAATTTTGTCTTCTTTAACATATGCAGCAAAGTCAAGAAATATCACTAACATTCCAAGAAAGCAGCTCTTCAAAAGAGCAGGCTCTTCAGAGGTGCCACACACAGAAAAAAGATTCATGATAGATGATTTTTCTATCAATCAAAAAATCAAGCTCACAGGAGCCACACCCCAGCATGCTGTGCTGGCAGTGTACACAGCAGGAGCACAAATTCATCCCTCCAATCCCAACTTCCACATGTGCATAATGATGTCTTTGGTTCCCCAGGGACAGTGATTGGGATTCTAGGAACTTCATTGTCATTCTTACTTATTTCAAGGCTGTGAGCTTGACAGATGGAATAATTTTCATGAAATATTCACTAGGGTTAATTTAGAATGCAATTAATCAACGCCTTAGAACCAAGATGCTCCTGAACTGGTTCTCTTCCAGATTCATGGAAACAGCTGAGTCTTGCAGAGTCCTAAATTCTGCAGACCAGAGTGTGCAGTAACTATCTCTGCAGGGCTGTTAACGGGACAGCAGTGAAGGAGAAGGCAGGATTATCAGTCACACCACACAGACTTCTCATAATGAAGTTCATGTTAATATATAATCAATTAATAGTACAGAATAAAATCCTTTTACAGTATCAGTTACAGCAACCAGAACTGTTACCAACCTGGTCAATGCCACGTCCTTTGCACTGCAGAATAATTACTTCTAACAGCTTGGCCGCGTGACATTCTGCATCTTCTCCAGCAACTCCTGTCAGGACCTGAAGAAGAGCCAGGGCTGTTGGTGACAGGACCCCTCCAGGCAGCGTTTTCCACAGGCTGCTTTGCTTTGAGAAGCTGATCTGAGCTTACCCCCACGACAACGCCAGCACCAACACCCGCCCGGGAAGCAGCCGAGTCCACAGCAAAGGCTCTGCACGACAACCCGAGAGCAAAACCTGCCCGGCGAGGGCAAACCTAGCTGCATGTGCAGACACAGCAGCTCCAGGGCTGCAGAGCTTACCACACAACTCTGCATGCAGCAGCTCCGTTTTCCTAAGGTTTATTTCCACACACAAACCAAAACCTTTCCTGAATTTTGTTAAGGTTTTGTTGACAAAAACGGGTTCTGCAGTGGGAGACCATGTGACACCAACAAGCTGTGTTAACAATTCACTGTGCTCAGCTCACACTCATCACTGAGAAGTCATAACAGGCTAATTTGCTTTTAAAACGTATCTAAAACATGCCTAAGAACATACAATAAGCCTAATCAGCCTGGTTGCACCTTGTTTTCCAATGAAGGCTGAAAAGAGTTATTCAGTGGAACATATAAACACCTTCCAAAGAATTACTCAGGAAATACCATAGGCAGTGAGCTGACAGCTCTCCACAGGCATCCAGAAGGGGAAAACTGAATTC